TATACTATCAAGGGTGAAATGGATCACCAGCCCAGGTTGGAGGCATGAGACAAGTGCTCAGGGCTGGTGCACTGGGAAGACCCAGAGGGATGGGATGGAAAGGGAGGTGGGAGGGGGGATCGGGATGGGGAACACATGTAAATCCATGGCTGATTCATGTCAATGTATGGCAAAAACCACTACAATATTGTAAAGTAATTAGCCTCCAACTAATAAAAATAAATGGAAAAAAAATTTATCAAACTCATTTAAAAATTTCAGTCCTTTAGGGTATGTACCACCCTCTGTTTAATAGTATTTGAAGTTTTTATACATTAGGTAAATTTACTGCAGAGAAGAAAGGAACCCTTTTTAATGTATATTCATTGTGTTTATATATTTACATTCTGATTGTTTAAATTTCTTTTTTACTTGGACTATAATTGCTTTACAATGTTGTGCTAGTTTCTACTGTACAGTGAAGTAAATCAGTTATATGTAAACAGATATCCTCCCACCTTGAGCCTCCCTCCCATCATCCCACCTCTGAGTCATCACAGAGCCTGAAGTTGAGCTCCCTGTGCTATGTAGTAGCTTCCCACTAGCTATCTGTTTTACACACGGTAGCGCATATATGTTGGTGCGACTATCTCAGTTCATCCCACCCTTTCCTCTCCACCCACACCATGTCCAAAAGTCCAGAAAGAAACCTTTCTTTAAAAAGGACCTTTTTTTAATGCCTATTTTTTCCCCAAAAGAATGTGAAGAAGAGATTTTTAAAAAGAAGATATGAGGACGTTTATAGAAGAGGGAAAGGGGAATGAATAAATAGAGAACAGGCCACAATGCCCTCATAAATAGAACCCAAGGCCCAGAAAAAATAGGAAAATATAGACCTGAAGGATTAAGCTAGAAAGAAGTTGATTTTAAAGCAGTAGAAATAGTCTAAAGCAGTAGAAATAGTTTAAAGACACTCTAAAAGACTAATTGGAAATTTTGAGCAATTTTGTATAAAACAGACCTGTATCTGTGTATCATGGACTACTGGCATGTGAAAATAGGCAAAAATGTTTATAGAATTCTGGCTAGAGGAATAAGTACAGATTTTGTGGGAGAAAATGATTTTATAATAAAACGACAAATTTTAAGTATGCAAGGTATCTTCATGAATCTACATGAGTGAAAGTAAAAGTAGATATATAGAAGGCAGATGAGAATTGTGAAAGAGAATGATCCCCCCTTCTTTTAAGTGTACATTCTTCACAAGATTAGAGTATAAAAGTTGTTTAGAGAAATGACTGTGTACTTCTATACAACAAAGTATGTTGTAGAGGAACTTTAGTCTTTTTCCCTTTAGATGAAGCTGGGATAATACAGATAACAACTTGCAAACAAGATATTTAGATCTGTATGAAGACAATCTGAATGGACAGATCTTATCTGGATGAGGATAGCAATAATCCAGAAGTTAGCAAATATGGAATTGGATGGGGAGACTATTTGTGTGTCTGAAAATAGAGGTTATGAAATATGTAGAATTGGAAACTACATGCAGTGAAAACAAATGCAAAAACCTCCCAAAAGCAATTTGCCAAAGGTAGATAAGTTAAACTTATAATAGAAAATACTCGGAATCTGATAAAAGTATTCTAGGAGCCTCAGCTTCCTTTCTTTGGAGCTGCCATATTATACTAAGAATAGTTAGAGGATCTTTTTTAAGAGTGCAAAGGGAAGCAAAATGATCACATTTGTGAAGAGGGTAAAAGCTCCTGGGGTCTTAGCTGAACTGTCCAAATTTTGAGGATTGAGTGCAAATCTCAGCAAGCAGTTTTAATGGAATATGAACCAAATGAGAAATGACGCAGGTAGTGGTAAAGGAAACATTAGCCATGCCTTTTTTCAAAGGGGAAAAAAAAAAGAACAATAAATAGCAGGAAAGGGACTTTCCTGGTGATCCAGTGGCAAAGACTCTGAGCTCCCAATGCAGGGGACCTGGGTTCAATCCTAGGTTGGGGAACTAAGATCCCACATGGCACAACGAAGAGTTCCCATGCCCCAACCAAGACTGAAGATCCTGTATGCTGCAACGAAGACCTGGCACAGTCAAATAAATAAATATATTTTTTACAATAGTAGGAAAAAAACCTACTGACATTACTCAATTCCCAGTATAAAATATTTGTAGGAATATTTTAAAGGCAGGAGGGCCAGCAAATGAGCCAAGGTTTTTGGATTTTGAGGTGGGGAAGAAAATAACTGATTAGATACAATCATTGCTCTTGACTGAATAAGTCATGATTGCCTTTCAAAGATATTATCTACATACATCTTAGAGAAGAAAATTCAAAAATTATTTCCTGAATAAAAATAAAGGTGACATACTGTATGTAGTCTCATCTAATGGATATCTTGACATCTCTCTTTTTTGACATTGCCCAAGGTATGGTAAATCTCCCAAGATAAAACCATATGCTTTAACTTGCCAGTAGTTATTAAAACTTTAAAAGTATATATTCTTCAAACCAGCAATTCCATTTCTAAAAATATCTCCCACAGATCTACTCATAAGTAAGTATAGGTACAAGGAAGTTTATTGCAATATTGCTTGTAATAGCAAAAGTTGAGAGACATTTGAGTCTCTCAAGTAAGGAATGGATGAGTAATTGTGGTTGGCCCCACACCCCATGAAATTTTGTGCATCCACTAAAAAGAATAAAGTAAATTTGTGTGTACTGAGACACAGAGCTGTCCATGTCATGTGCTCAGGTGAATTTTTAAAATGCATAACAGTACATAGAGTATCCCACTCTTAAAAATCCTGTATGTATACAAGCAAAAGGTAGATTACGTATACCTGTAGAAAGAGACCTGGAAGTATATATACTAAACTGTTATCAGTAGTTACTCTTAGTAAGAAGAGGTGGACTCTTAGTTTTCAGTTTATGTCCTTCTGTATTTTTATATTTAAATTTTTGAAATCTGAAATTTATATAAAGGAGAAAAAAGCCAAGCCCTTGGAAGCCAAACTTTTCAGCCTAAACCCTGATTTAGTTCCTCTTCTCTCATCTTAACCTTTACAGTTTACCACAAGTGAGTACTATAGGTACAATTCATTTTATTATTGAGAGTAGGTTCACAAATAAAGTTCTTGGTTTCTAGTTAGCTTGTTACAAAATTCAGGTTCTACATGTTGATTTTATTTTTTAAATACCAAGTGATGGCATTTGGGTAAAGTCTGGCTTGTTTGTTCAAGCATTCACTGAACATTTGTGAAGTGCCAATGGTGTGCCAAGCACTGGGGAATTCAGCCATCCTAGTCTTCTACCTGATGGTTACCTCCTCTTCAGTTGCAGCCCCAGTGGTTGCGTTCAGGACTTTCCAGTGCTCATATGCTCATTTATGTTTAAAAGGTGATCCACTTAAACTTAATTGCAATTTACACACTATATGTGAATTTTCAAAGAGCCACTTTTTACCTTCGGCATGTAAATATTTCCCTAAAATGGACATCTCTTTTTAACCTCTATTTTTCTAAATAACAGGGATGGGAGATGACTTAGCAGTGGAAAATATTGAGAAAGCATTGGGGGAGAATGTTTGCATTTACTATGGAAAAGGGGTATTTGTGAAAGAGTTGATATTTATGAGCAAAAACATATGTCAATCACTGTTGGAGAGCGAAAAATATGATACATAATCCTGTTCTAAAGTATATGTATAATGTATAAATATTTTTAGAATTAAAATATTTATATCTTTCTCCAGAGAGAGTGGCTGGATCATATTATCTCTTTGAAGTTCTGGTTCTGTAGATTCAAGCATTTTCTTTAGAAAGCCATTTAAAAATTATGATGAGAAGATGTTTAGACTAAGATTTATATTATACATATGTGCAGGATCAATATTTCTGAAACTGCATTCTTCAGTATGTCGTGACTTCTACTTCTTAAATCAGTGAAACACAACTTTAAATAAAAGTTTTATGTACAGTCATTAAAATATGAAGGGGATAGACTAATCCTGCTGTTAGTTTTTGTTATATTATATTATTTGAAAGTAATTTGTATGAGTATCTTCATGATTTTTTATAAGAGTACATTTCCATTTTTGAAACTACAGACTCCATCTTGAAAAATATTCATTTTGAGCTTCATTGTTAAATTGTATATTATCTTCTTTTTATGCATTTCACCAGCCTATTATAATCTTACAGTGTTTCATTCTTCCCAGAGTAGACCAAGGGAACAGCTGCCTGCTTATCATTGGTTGGGCTCTTCAAGGGAGTGGGTGGTGGAGCTAATCAACAGGCGTTCTTATCAGCAGAGCCCTGTCCCTCCTCTGAACTGTGGGTGTCAGCCTATTAATTCTCCACTAAAAACTTTAAGCATTTGGGGACAATTATGTCTCATGTTGGAGCTCCCTGGGCACTTTTTTCCAGAGATAATTAAATGTAAAACTTGAAAGATAATTGATCAGGCAGGAGCAAGTATATCAAATACTAGTATCAAATACTGAATATAAGGATGTCTAACACAGTTCCTTGTTTTGTAAGAGGTGGAACAATCTAGTTGGCAGAAAGCAACTCCTATTTTGCAGTTAGCACAAATGCTCTGGACCTTTCTTTCTCAAACAAACATAAGCAAGTGAAAACCAAGAATAAAAGAACTATATATTATAGAACATATTATTATGGAAAGGAATGGTAGTGTAACACCCTAATTCTGCACATGGGAAAATGAAAGTGTAGTTTCAAAAACTACATTTCATGGTAGTTTTTTTCAGAATAATAAAAGCCAATGGTTGTATAAATAAGTGAACATATATGCTCTTTTCCTTATTTGTTCTTTATTGTCACATATCAAGTAAGCTGTTGAGTTTTTTTTCTTCTGAGTCATTATTCTACTGGCTTTATGTTCCAGATATATTCCACAGACATTAATATGTCAAGAGAATTTTAGCACACAGAAACTTGTGTTCCCATTTTACCTTGATGAGTGGCTCATCTCATGTTCTTCTTGTAGGGATTTGACCAGCTCCGACTTGAAGGATTGCTCTGTGACGTGACCCTGATGCCAGGGGACACAGATGATGCCTTCCCTGTGCACAGAGTCATGATGGCCTCTGCTAGTGATTACTTCAAGGCTATGTTCACAGGTAGCTTGCCTTCTAACTCTGCCTCCATATTAATAAGAAAAATACGTGTTTAAATCTTTTTATTGCTAGAGGAAGATTCAGGACTTTTGTTCTGTGTCTTTACAAGAAGAGTTTAAAAGGAATAGACACCCAGTATATGTGTATGGCATCACCGACTCAACGGACATGAGTTTGAGTAGACTCCGGGAGTTGGTGATGGACAGGGAGGCCTGGCGTGCTGTGGTTCATGGGGTCGCAAAGAGTTGGACACGACTGAGCGACTGAACTGAACTGAACTGAACTGATGTGTGTTTGTGGGTGGTGCTTTTTTAACTTGGAAAATGGATATACCTTTTTTATACCTCTGTCTACCTTTATTTCATAGCTTTGCTTTTCCAGACATATATCTGAATGGGCCATCAGAGACTAATACAATGTCACTAGTACAATCTCTAATCCATCAAAAGATCTGAAGTGCCAGGAGAACATTTTGGAGGCACTTGCATCGTATACCACCTCCATTAGTATAGAGATATTCCTTTTTAAGTACTCTCTTTCAACTGTAAAATATGCAGAAGCTTGACTCTGATACAAATGCTTACACAGAATAAAATTTTCCCTGATTTTATTGCTTCTAATTAGCAGCAGAAGTGAGTTTGACCTTAATTAAATTATCCACCTTCATTTAATTGACTGTCTTTTTATTTAAGGTGGAATGAAAGAACAAGATTTAATGTGCATTAAGCTTCATGGTGTGAGCAAAGTCGGTTTAAGGAAAATTATTGACTTCATTTACACTGCAAAGCTTTCTCTTAATATGGACAACCTTCAAGACACACTGGAAGCTGCCAGTTTTCTACAGATTCTGCCGGTTTTGGACTTCTGCAAAGTATTTCTCATATCTGGGGTAAGACATTTTCAAATCAAATCTTTTCCTGCAATGGATAGTATTGTGGCCTGAAACTGGCCTTTAGAGAGAGGTGTCATCTAGTGTATGGCTTGGAAGCAGGTTCAGGAGAAAACAGTGCAGTTGCATTTTTATAAAATAGAACCATTTAAAAAAAGCCTCTGGTGTACCATGGTACATATACACCATGGAATATTACTCAGCCATTAAAAAGAATTCATTTGAATCAATTCTAATGAAATGGATGAAACTGGAGCCCATTATACACAGCGAAGTAAGCCAGAAAGATAAAGACCATTACAGTATACTAACACATATATATGGAATTTAGAAAGATGGTAAAAATAACCCTATATGCAAAACAGAAAAAGAGACTCAGATGTATAGAACAGACTTGTGGACTCTGGGAGAAGGCGAGGGTGGGATGTTTCAAGAGAACAGCATCGAAACATGTATATTATCTAGGGTGAAACAGATCACCAGCCCAGGTTGGGTGCATGAGACAAGTGCTCGGGCCTGGTGCACTGGGAAGACCCAGAGGGATCAGGTGGAGAGGGAGGTGGGAGGGGGGACCGGGATGGGGAATATATGTAAATCCATGGCTAATTCATTTCAATGTATGACAAAAACCACTGCAATGATGTAAAGTAATTAGCCTCCAACTAATAAAAATAAATGAAAAAAAAAAAAAAAAGCCTCTGTGTCATCCAATGACATTAGACAGTAAAAGGATTTGATAGCAATAAAATCCTTAACATGTTTGATAATGTTATTTATTTTAATCCAGTTTTATTCCACTTGATGATTTTATACAAGCAGGTTTTTTAAATAGAGTTCTGTGGGAAAGTCATCTGAGGTTCTAGAAGTCTTTTAAGATACACTCAAGTCATTTTATTTTTCTTCCTTTAAATATTGGACCTAGATCTTGAGAAGAACTGACACCTATGTGTAAATTTTCTTGATTCCATGGCAACACATCCCCTACGAGTTGTTTACAGCATATTTTAATAGATAACAGAGGACACATACGACAACCAGCCACTGAGCTACTTATAGTCACCCACTTCCTTTGGACAGTGCCTCATTTTAGTTGAGACCCTTAAATTAATAGCACTTAATACTTACATTTATAAACTCTTAACATTTATTTACACTGATCTTAGCAACATGTGGTTGTCCTGAGGCAAATTAGGTACAGTGTCGTGATTTCCTTGAAACTAATCAGTAACTACAGACACTGTTGACCTAGTACCAATTGTCTATTATTCAAGTTCAGTACTTATCACTTGAGATACTTGTGATCAGTTCCTTAGTCTAAATGAAAAGAACCAAACTGGGTAAAGCATGATTTATGAAGTTATAAAAATATGCATTTCTCAAAATAACAGAATTAGAAAATAAGTTTGTTCTGGATGAGTCTATTTAAAGCACATTTATTTCAAGATGATATCATAGCAAATTTGCAATATTTGACAAATTTCCTGTAATTAGAATGTTGGTTCCTTAACTTCCTTGAAGTATTTATTATAACTGTATGTTTTTACCCTTTTGAAAATATCTTTATTTTTATAAACACTTAATATTGTCTTAAAGATTATAATCTTCATTTTGAGTATCTCTGCAGAGATCCTAAAGCCCATTTCTAAAGGAGAAGAGACATGTCTCTGACAAAGCTTACTTAGAGTATAGTTTACTCCCATTTTAAAACATTCTTGCCTATGAGTTTTCTCTTAGTACCATGCTATTTCTTATCTTTCATCTTGTTTGCTTAGGATATGTCTGTGTGATTTTACATTGAAAATCTTCCCTCTCAAAGTCCATGGTAATTTTTGAGAAAAGTTGGTGGATTATTAGTTTATGGATTATATAAAATCTAACTTTTCCTTTATCCTTCTTTCATGCATTCCATATCTTAGTTAAATATTTAGGCTTTACTCTATTATCTTCTCAGCAATCAAGTAAATCAGGAAAAACAGTAGCCGTGGGTACCTTTCCTATTTATAAGAACTGAAAGTTTCAAGATAATATAAATATTTTTCAAAGGTAAATATGTTTTCCATTTTCCCACAGACTCAGTTATTATAATTTAATTATAATTTAAAAATATAACAGTCTCGCAATCGTGTACTTAACCCAACTGTATTGAGGAAATAGATTTGTGTTCTTAATGATATAGTATGATTATAGTTCGTATAACCAAAACACTTCTTGGGTTTGAATTTTTGGAAAGAAAAATTAGCTTTGAACACAATTCTTTTCTATCCATTCTTAACCACTTGTGTGGATGAAGAGGAGCAGTGGTATATAGAAGATGAGTCAGCATATCATCCACAAAACCTTTATATGTTAATTTTGAATGATAGTGTTAAATACGATAATAATTGGCATATACACACTACTACACATAAAATAAATAAAAAGAACCTACTGTCTAGCACAGGGAACTCTACTCAACACTTTGTAATAACGGATATGGGAATAGAATCTAAAACAGTGGGCATATGTATATGTATAACTGATTCACTTTGCTGTACAGCAGAAAGTAACACAACATTATAAATCAACTATACTCCGATAAAATTAAAAAAATATAATGCACAACTCTATTGCTAAAAATACCCCCCAAACCCCAAATACAGTGATAAAGCCCCATTTGCCTTTGGTGGGTTAGACATCCATTCTCTGTAAGGGAGCATCACGCTCAGTAGAACAAGAACCCTCCACTCTGAGCTTTGCCTTCTTTTGCAGCAATACTTTTCTCTTAGAGTTGTAACTAGTAGTAGGGCCTATAAGACCTATAGACCCTAATTTTGTTCTTGCTATGCTATTTTCTTGGTAGTTATAAGAGGACTGTGAAAAGAAAACAGAAGGATGACAGTGAAGGATATAACGTAGAGTTGTAAAATTTTCTGTAAAACTAAAAATATTATCATTTATCATGGACATAATAGAAAATTACCCTTGTTTCTTCGCTACATACCTACAAAAACTACATTAGCTTTTGTCCTTATGACATTGCATAACTACAGCATGCTAAATTCCATATGGCCATCCCCTGATTTACAAACAAGTTGTAGTCAAATTTTTTATCATTTGTTTGCTGTTTGGAAATTGTACCATCTAGCATTTTCCCCACAGTATTACTATTATGGAGGATTACAGGCTAGCCCGTAAAACCCAATTTAATATCAGGTTACTGAAACAGAACAATTTGTAATTGAACTGGAAAAAATTGAAATTTAAGTTTACAGTTATGCAGAGTAAACAGAGCAGGATGAAGGTGAGCAAAAAATCATTTTCTTTTTACATAAAAGCATATCTAATCAGAGAATGAAACTGCTCTGTGCTTTAGACTCGGTGTGCTTTCTTTAAACTCATTATTTTTTTAAGTTTTTTTTTTTTCTTGATACAGATCTATCATTGGTTCCACCTGTACATTTATTGTCACTGATTGGGTTGGGGAACTCACAATGAAATTTATTTCAGAAATTTATTGAGGTGACTGGGGTCATGAAGAGTGGGAGACAGTGGAAAACAAGAGAGGCACATTTGTTGGAGACCAGAGGAATTCTCTAAGGGAACAATGAAGGGAATCAGAGGAAGTTATTGGAAAAGACAGCTTCTTCTGCTATTATGTGACCATAGCAGCAGCACGGATGTTTTTTTAAGGAATGTTCTTTTTGGGAAAGAATGTTCTTTTTGATGTAAGGATTTCCTGTATAGTACATGCATTTGGCATTCTTTCTTTCATAAAGACTGGATTTACCCATTAAGCTTAATTAACATGTCTTTCCAGGTAATGTTTTTGCTTTGGGGGAGGCTCAATGCAAATTAGAGAAAAAATTTTATGGGTAATTTTAAAATGAATCAAAACTGTTTCTCTCCACATTAAACCAGTCTTGTTTTTCTTCTTGTCAAGGCTGATACTCAGCAAGTAGTAGCCAGATACCAGTTGTTTATGGCTGAGCATCTGTTCTGATTAGTTGGTACTCAAATATTCTGAATATCACCCCTGCATATAACTTTAATCAGCCCATTCTTGCCCATCTGGGATTCTGTAGGGCAAGAAGAGCCTCAGCCTGGACCTAAACCAACTCATCCCCCCAAAGACCATTATGATAACTACTATTGCATCCACCAGGGCAAGTGCATTCAAAGTGCAAAGGAATAAGAAAATGGGATTCCCCAAGCTGGACACACCCTCACAATTCACCTCAAATGGTGTCAGTCATCTGAAGAGAAACAAGACCGGGCGAGAAAGGTTTTAGTTTTCTTATCATCCCTTTGTTCTTCTTACCAAAATGCCCCTTCCTTGTGTCCTGTGGTATTCTCACCTGTGGAAGGAAGCTTGGGAGAAGATACCTATTATGTCCTGTATCCCTCAAAGAAGCTTGTTTGACTACTTCCCAGTCTTTTTCTATGAACGTGCTTTCTCTCTTTGCATTGGTTGTACTTGAGGTCAGGGTGTCATTTTAATAAACTAGATAGCACCAAAGAGAATTTGGTACATTGAATGTCTGAAGAGCGCCGCCCCCCGCCCCCCTCCCCCGATTTACCAGTGAATTTCTTAGTGTTTGCTCTTCCCTTGAGTGGACAAAAGCAGATAGTCATTTGCTTTTTTTTTCCTAAATGGAAATTTATTTGTGTAAGACACTGAACTTCAACAATGTAACATCACAGATTACTGATGAAACCTATCATTAAAATATCAAATTATGTTAATCACAGCATTAGGTACATCAGATGTGATTTGAACAACTTAATATTGCAGCAATAAGTACCAGTATGTTAATGACAATTGAAAATCATGATGCTTAGAATTGCCTTTAGGATGACCATGAAGGTTGTTCGATTACAATAGAATAATTTATAAATTATATAAAGGAAACTTAAATGTGTACTTGATTGTTTTTTAAAATAACACTGTTGGTTCTCATAAGAAGTTGAGAAATTTTGTCCTTTTTTGCTTCTCTATCCTTTAAAACTCTAATATAATTACCTGGCTTAACTTCTGTAACAACTCTTCTTTGGAATTTTGGCCAGGGTATATATTCAGATGAAATTAGAGTTCTTTCTGCTTATGAGGTTTTCTTTAATACACTTTAAATTCATATTTTACATTTTTCAAATGTATTCTGTACCTGAATTGCATTATATATTATGTTACTGCACATATTCATTATTTTGTAATGTCTAAGGTTAAATGTTTGGGACTATGCTAGCTAAAGCACTTTTAAATATCATGACTGAGAATGGATTACAATGAGCTATAATTGAATAATCCTGTATTTTTCCAAAACTTGTTTGCCGTTATTCCATCATTTTTGATCTGCTTATATTAACTGTTATTCTACACTGTGCTTCTACAGTCCCTATAGTCTACAATTAATTTTTTAGCTTTGATTGCATGCACTTCATAAAAATTAATTTCCTGTTACATATTTTCTTATCTGAGTCTCATTTTAAAATTAATAAGACTGTAGTAATCTGCTGTGTTAATTCAGCAGATATTCTATTTTTACTTGTATCTATCATCACATCTTTAATTTTTAAATTGCTGATAATCATTGCATTTAACCTTTGTTATATACCCACAGTGTGGTAGCTATGGTACATGAGCTGTAGAAAATACTTAGTCCTTCTATCAAGAAGATGACTATTCAGAAGGTTATGAAATACCATTCTCTGGTGCTCTTTTTTAAGGAAAGAGTAGGCAGCTAGCTATATTAGCTAGGCAATCTGTCAAGGTTTTCCCAGTCCTGAGAATCTATATATCTGATATATAGAAGGGATTTTCAAAATGCCCTTAAATACAAGGTAGTTTTTTTTTATCCTGTTGTTTTAAAAACTGTTTCCTTATTGAATAATACTGAAGAAGGAAAAGAGGAAGGAACTGAATATCTTGATCCCAGTTCTGAATTACACAGATTGGTTTCTAATCTTTAATCTCGGTTTATATTAATATACTATAAATTTATAATTAATTTTGGTGACAGCCAATGCTATTATTTTGCCCATTTAAAATATAGTCTTTGATGTTTTAATTTTTTTATTTGTAATCAATCATATCAATGATGATAAGAATCTGCATACTCAGGAAATATATTTGTGCTTTCATCAGTGTTTGCTTATCCATATTAGCAAACATCTTCAAAAATGAAAATGACTCTTGCTTTGGGGAAGGACTATGTCTTACCCCATAAAGTAGGTCTGTTACCCCAAACAGGAATCCCTTCCACCTGGGGTGATTTGGGCAATGAGGTATTAATTGTAACTTTATTTACACAACTTTAAAATTGTGTCAGACACCAACCTGCCACTCCTAAAGTGGATTAAAGTGTACTTTTTATTAACGAAGTTATCGAATAGTATTAAACTGTGTGTTTGAAAAGGCCCATAAGTTGTTCATTTATTTTTCCTGGTCCTCTTATGTTACAATTTATTTTAGGTATTTTTAAATACATAGGTATTAAGTATAGCAACTATTTTAAATTGTTGATGATTTTTGTGCAGCAAATCAGTGCCTAAAAGAGTTCAAATTCTTCTTGAGTAATAATCTATGAAAATAGCAACATGTGTGTGTATGTGTTGGCCTTCAAACTTTCAGTGGTATTATGTCATAACTGGGCTGTGGCTTTATGCAGAGGAGTCATGATTTTCATCTCATTTCAGCTTTTCAATGACAAGATCATAGAAGGATTAGCCAATTTTCTCTTAACCATCTGCCAGTTGGTTAACAATACAGTGGCGTCAGTGAGCTTTATGTGACATTTGTGAACACACACCCTGACAAAATTAAGCAAAAAAAACCTATGAGTCCTTTGCCTGTGACTTGTCTCTATGTTTGTACATACACACACACACATACAATCACAAAGAGATTTGTATGGCAGGCTTGTTTTTGTGATTTATGCTTTACATATTTGCTGATATGACTTTCCTAATTTTCACTTTTGACTAGTTAGCCCTTAGAACATTGAAAAGACTTCCTGCCAAAGACGGGCCTCTCTGTAGCTTCTCTCCTTTTCATGACTTCTGCTTTTGGTGTATTTTATTCTGTGCTGGGGAGGTTTGGGGAGCTACTGTGGACTCCAGGCAGTGCTGGAGTATGCTGAGAGTAAGAGAGTAGCTAAGGAAAACTGTGGTGCCAGCCATCAGCATACTTACTGGAAACTAAACTACATGAATAATTTGATGCAAAAACACCCATTCCATTCCTCAAGAAAGTGATTCCCTTGTTTCTATTTCTACATAAATAATATGGAAAATAAACTCACCCTAGGAATAATGGCCCTATTAAATTATCTTCACTATAAGCAATAACTTTTGAAGGAATCAAAATGAATGATAGTGATGAATGATGCCTGTTGACATGAAAGAGAAATTTAGGGATCAGGTACTAGAGCTTTTCTGTTTGTGGATCTGCTAGCTGAGTTGCTTTTAAGAATCATGACTGAAAAGTGAATTGAGATGATTCATTATAGAATAGCTTTCTATTTTTGCAGAACTTCCATCTGGCCAGAACTTTCTTAGTATTTGCAGGGTAGTGGTGAGGACACATTTTTGAGGAAAGAAAATAATTATGTTGGCCACAGTCAAGTTATACCATTGTTTCTTAGAGTAACTTTCCATCTACTGACTCTGAACAAGCATTTTCTTTTAGTCTCCTTTCTATTGATTAGGCAAGAGTGGTTTGTGAATTCTTTTTAAGTACTTAATATAGGGAAAAAAGAATCTTAATTTTCATCTATATGGACAGTGAAAAGCATATTTACTCTTATTCTAGAGCAAGTATTTATATATCCAGGTATGAGTGCCATGAAAGTATTTGGGTTTTAATTTTTTTTTTTTTTTTTTGGATCGGCTTAATAGGTCACTTTAGACAATTGTGTCGAAGTTGGGCGGATTGCCAACACCTACAATCTGACAGAAGTGGATAAATATGTTAACAGTTTTGTCTTGAAGAATTTTCCTGCGTTGCTGAGCACCGGGGAGTTCTTGAAACTCCCTTTTGAACGTCTTGCCTTTGTGCTTTCCAGTAACAGCCTTAAGCATTGCACTGAACTTGAGCTCTTTAAGGCTACCTGTCGCTGGCTACGCCTGGAAGAGCCTCGGATGGACTTTGCTGCAAAGTTAATGAAGAACATACGATTTCCACTGATGACACCGCAGGAGCTCATTAATTATGTGCAAACCGTGGATTTCATGAGAACTGACAATACGTGTGTGAATCTCCTTTTGGAAGCCAGCAATTACCAAATGATGCCATATATGCAGCCAGTTATGCAGTCAGACAGGACTGCCATTCGGTCTGACACCACTCATTTGGTTACACTAGGAGGAGTGCTGAGGCAGCAGCTGGTTGTCAGCAAGGAATTGCGCATGTATGATGAAAAGGCCCATGAGTGGAAGTCCTTAGCCCCCATGGATGCCCCGAGGTACCAGCATGGCATTGCCGTCATTGGAAATTTCCTCTACGTCGTTGGAGGACAGAGCAATTATGACACAAAAGGAAAAACGGCAGTTGATACAGTCTTCAGATTTGATCCACGATACAATAAGTGGATGCAAGTTGCATCTCTAAATGAAAAGCGCACCTTCTTCCACCTCAGTGCCCTCAAAGGATACTTGTATGCAGTTGGTGGACGAAATGCAGCTGGTGAACTGCGTAAGTGTGTGTATGTCTATTAAGCACAAAGACTAATTTCTTTACCCCAAGATTTAGTCAGATCATAAAATAAGCAGTTTTATAACATCAAAGACCAACAAATGTAGCCAGAATTTTATTTTAAACTGTTTTTCTTAGAAATGTCAGAGACTATCTGAGCCTATATTGTTAGCCACACTACAAATATTTCAATATGTGGCAGAATATTTTACTGGTGCAATATCCATGGTTTTCATCGTAAAGGTTTAACTGAAAAGCGTGTTCTGCTAATTTAAATTCTAATGGATTCTTGGACAGACCTTTGACATGTTTCCTCATTTTCCATTTTTAAAAACCCACAGAATATTTCAGTGAACAGGTTAAAATCCTTCCTTACAGAGCATTGACTTCTATAGTTGGTCCTTTTATGTAATCTGTTACGTATCTTATGCCACACAGTAAGATGATTTTATTTATCTACTAAATGTTCAAAGTTCAGTATTATCCAGACTTTACCATGAGTATTATATATAACTATTAGTCTCAAAACTCATTCTATCTTGGTGAAATACCAAGCAGTTTTTTTCACTGTAAACTGAGCTAGTAAACTTGATTATTTGACAGTCCCTTCTTGGTCTTCCTAATCTGAAGTCAGTCACTGATCTTAGATCAATAACAGAGACCAATACTTTGACTGTGTAAATTAACACTAATTTTGTTATTTTAGATACAATTGGAATAAGGTAGCTGTCCAAAAGGAAGTCGGGAAGACCTCATTTTATATCAGGTTTTACATATCTGTCATTACCATCATTGTTTGGTCCTTTTTTCACCCATCTTCCTTTATTCTCTGTTCTAAGTAGAGTCCTTGGAGTTGACCAGTATTCCAGGCTCCATAAGCCTGTGAAAGTTTAAGATATTGGCATTGGCTCTGGATAAATTCAGAGTAATTATCAGAATCTTTTTCTTCAGTATTCTAAAAAGTAAAAGGTGGTCTCAGTTCAGTTCAGTCACTCAGTCGTGTCCAACTCTTTGCGACCCCATGAACTGCAGCACGCCAGGCCTCCCTGTCCATCACCAACTCCCGGAGTTTACGCAAACTCATGTCCATTGAGTCGGTGATGCCATCCAACCATCTCATCCTCTGTGGTCTAGTGGATTTGAAAATAAGCTATTTGTTGGAGATAAAAAGATCTGCTCTCAGCTCTTATCCTTTTCAGCTTATCAAGTTCTTTCTTGTTAGTGACATGGTCTTAATGTTACTGATGTTTTCTACTCACGTTTTTTTTTCCCTTTGTTGTCACAGTGATATTTCTTCTAAGGCCAGACTTCCCAGATTGTTGGACTAGCTTTCAGAATCATGAAGTAGACAGGTTTTCCAGTGTATTTCAATAATCAGACTTCTAAAAGCACTTGACACATGAATACCCTTTGTGTAGAACTGTCCTTTCCTCAGTTAACCCACACACGTTATTTACATGTAATTATACTCTTTTAAATTTATGGTATCTTAAAATAAGCAGAAGAGGCAAGTGGTGACTTGGCACTTTCTTAGAGAAACCACTTATATAAAATAATCTTTACAAGTTTACAATTTATAGGTCATTAAACCCCTCAATCAGTGGCCATTTTGAAACTTCTTTTCTCTAAGGAAGTAGCTCCAGTTTTCAGTCACTGCTTGCTTGGTGATGTTTTCACACCCCTGTTAATATGCGGCTATTAAGTCTTCAATATATTTTTCCTAATATTAATTAGACGCCTTACTCTTCTGAGAATTTATCATCTTCAGGCCAAGGAGAGTCATTACATAAGACTAAGGTGCTCGAGGCTTCCTTCTTCTGACTTAAGCCTCACCCTATTTGAGTTCTTCCCACATTATACTCAATTGGTAACAACAAGTAGACTACCTTGTTGGGCAAGTGACTGGCTTCCTTGCCCTTCAGAAATCACCTCCTTCATCTATTATTAAAAACAGTATTCTGTGTTTCAGTTTGAAAGTTACAGGATACAAGAGAATCATGCTTTTCACGTGCGAGTCCTAAATTTATAACTCTTGGATTATAGTTAGACTTAAAACACAATCACCCAGAACTTAAACCTAAGGATAATGATTTACATGTTCTAAAAAGAATACTCTCTGCTCTAGATGATAAATATAGGTCTACTTTTATCTTAATTCATCAACTGCATTTTCATAAAGGGACATATGATTGTACTATGGATACAAACCCTCATTATCAAAAGACAACTATAATTCCATTGAGGCCAACTACTTGGTATTTCTTTTCCTTTGAAGAAATTGTCTCCTAGAATCTAGAAGTGACTAAACTTTTGTAGAAAAGGATTGCTTCCCTTAAAATTAGCATACCTAGCAAATCCATTCTGTGTTATATATTGTTTTAATTGTTTTTGGCTGTGCCACACAGCATATAAAATCTTAGTTCCCTGACCAGGAATCAAATCCATGACTCCTGCATTAGGAACGCAGAGGCTTAACCTCTGGATCACCAGGGAAGTCCCTATGGTACATATTTTAAGTTAAAATATATGGGAAGGTTTTTTTTTAAAAATCATGTGATTGACTTATTAAGTACACTTCAGTTGAGAGTCTTGATTCCAGGAGAATCTTTAGGCCCAAAAGAGCCATTACCAAGAGCCATAAAACCAAGTAGCAAGAAGCTTCATGTTTTTTTCTGACTCACCCCACACCTTTGAGTTCCCCCTATCTTATACCCATGTGGAAGTAAGAAGCATACAGACACATCTCGTCACATTCTGTATTACTGAGGTGAGCAAACCCAGTGTAACCCGTCCAGAGAAACATTATCAATGTGTTCTCCTGCTCCGTTGTTGTTCAGTTGCTTAGTCGTGTCCGACTCTGCAACCCCATGGACTGAAGCACACCAGGCTTCCCTGTCCTCCACTATCTCCCGGAGCTTCCTCAAACTCATGTCCATTGAGTCGGTGATGCCATCCAACTATCTCATCCTCTGCCACCCCCTTCTACATTTTATTTTAAAACAGTATATTGATTTTACTAATGACCATAGCAGTCCTACCTGGAGAAAGCCAAAGGTTGACAATAAGGATTAAAAGATAGGAAAAGCTAAAGGAGATGGGTTATCTAGCTGGAAGAAGACAAATTTAGGGATCAGTTCAGTTCAGTCGCTCAGTCATGTCTGACTCTTTGCGACCCCATGGACTGCAGCACGCCAGGCCTCCCTGTCCATCACCAACTCCCGGAGCTTCCTCAAACTCATGTCCATTGAGTCGGTGATGCCATCCAACTATCTCATCCTCTGCCACCCCCTTCTCCTTTTGCCTTCAATCCTGCTCTGTAAGCGGTTTTTAATGGAAACCCCCTTCCTCCACTCCACTCTAACATCTGTTGTAATAACTTAATATTCCCACCTTAACTGATTATGTTGACATATTCATATGTCAGTGTAAATAGAGAAGGGGATAGGAATGGGTGTCAGGAAAAATGGATTGATAGAAAAATCATTTCACAGTTTAACCGGTTCATTAGTATCAGTACATCATTTATTCTTTATACACACAATAACCACTGCCTCTATATAATGATGAAAAGAAGACAGTGGAAGCATCTACAAGACATTTTAGATCATTTAAGTGGATTTGGCCTTTTAAAATCTTGCCATGGAGTGTATGGACCCAAGCCCATAGTACATCAAACAATAATATTAGTGTGTGTGTGTATATGAGCCTGATTTATTGCTAAAATATAATTCCTTGGAAATGCTACTTTCTTTTGACATCGGGTACAATGGGAAACTGGGGGAAGCTTAGAGTACCTGTCACTTAAGAGAAAAAGGAGTCAGTTATTTTTGGTATCTTTCAAAATTGTGTCATATAAGAAATCAATCTTCCATTGAAGTTTTCTGTATTGAGGAGAAATATGACAGCTCAGGTATCTTTCACTGCAGTTAAATATTAATAAGTCACAGTTCCAAATAATGAAGTAACCCTGTGTTAAATTTTTCCAAATAAATATACAATAAAATTACTGAAATTATCAGATACCTCCATATCCCTTAATAGATTTGCAGTTTCTTTATTAAGTGACATATTACTAACTGGCACTCTAGGATTCTAGAGACCATCCCCGCTTTCTGAGAGACCTCATTATGCAAATAATTTTCTTCAGTACTAATCTCTTTCCTAATCTCAAAGAACAAGTAAATTCTGAACTCCAGTGGAATCACCTGAGAAAATCAGAATCCTTAATGAGATAGGTGAAACAACCAACCTAACTGAATTTCTTATATTAGAGAGGATCTCTAATTTACATACCAGGCCACCAGACTACTGAAGATGATTCTCTAGAATAGACAATACAGTGCCAAGAAGGAAATCTTTTTGACTTTCCAGGCTATAGGATCTCTGTCACAACTAATCAGCTCTGCCATTGTATTGTGAAAGCAACTATAGACAGTTTGTTTATAAACAAATGAGTGAAGTTGTGTTCCAATAAAGCTTTATATATGAACACAGAAATTTGAATCCCATATAATTTTCATATTTCACAAAGTATTTTTCTTTGATTTTTTTTCCAGCTATTTAAAAATGTGAAAGCAATTCATATTTTTATCTTGTGGGCCATACAAAAGCAGATGACATATTGGATTTGGCTTACAGGCTGTAGTTTGCCTGACCTTCCCTGTTCTACATTTTCCCAATTACCTTATTACCATTCCCACGTGTCATAGACTGTGATGGACTCACTGCTTTGTGTCTCCAGCTCCTTGCTTTCTCATCCCTTGTCCCCTCCCCCATCAATGTGGTTGGCACTAACATATTGTTGCTTTGTAAATATGGAAAATAGAAATAAGGATATGCATATACACTTGTTATTTAAATGCATTTTATTTTAAAACAGTATATTGATTTTACTAATGACCATAGCAGTCCTACCTGGAGAAAGCCAAAGGTTGACAATAAGGATTAAAAGATAGGAAAAGCTAAAGGAGATGGGTTATCTAGCTGGAAGAAGACAAATTTAGGGATCAGTTCAGTTCAGTCGCTCAGTCATGTCTGACTCTTTGCGACCCCATGGACTGCAGCACGCCAGGCCTCCCTGTCCATCACNTATTGAATGTCACACTTTAACAGCATCATCTTTTAGGATTTGAAATAACAGCTGGAATTCCATCACCTCCACTAGCTTTGTCTGTAGTAATGTTCCCTAAGGCCTACTTGACTGCACACTCCAGGATGTCTGACTCTAGGTGAGTGACCACACTGTTGTGATTATCTGGGTCATGAAGATCTTTTTGTATAGTTCTGTGTATTCCTGCCACCTCTTCTTAGTATCTTCTGCTTCTGTTAGCTCCATACCGTTTCTGTCCTTTATTGAGCCCATCTTTGCATGAAATGTTCCCTTGGTATCTCTCATTTTCTAAAAGAGATCTGTAGTCTTTCCCATTCTGTTGTTTTCCTCTATTCTTTTGCACTGATCACTAAGGAAGGCTTTCTTATCTCTCTCTGCTGTTCTTTGGAAGGCAGCTATGCTCACCACTATACCACCAACGCTGCTCTCTGCTGTTCTTTGAAACTCTGCATTCAAGTGGGTATAACTTTCCTTTTCTCCTTTGCTTTTGGCTTCTATTCATTTCATAGCTATTTATAAGGCCTCCTCAGACAACCATTTTGCCTTTTTGCATTTCTTTTTCTTGGGGACAGTCTTGATCACTGCCTCCTGTACAATGTCACGAACCTCTGTCCATCATTCTTCAGGCATTCTGTCTATCAAATCTAATCCCTTGAATCTATTTGTCACTTCCACTGTATAATCATGAGGGATTTGATTTAGGTCATACCTGAATGGTCTAGTGGTTTTCCCTACTTTCTTAAATTTAAGTCTGAACAAAGGAGAAGCCCTAGCAAGACAGTAGGAGGGGCGCAATCGTGTTTAGAATCAAACCCCATACCCACCAGAGATGCTCAGAGGGCTCAAGCATACCTTGTGCACACCAGGACCCAGAGACCCCACAGAGACTGAGACAATTTAGGGATGATGAACTCTTATATACTTGTTTTGTTATTGGTGCTTGATAACCATCTTACCCTTAAAGGGCTCCTGTATGAGAAAGTATGGATGGATTCTTATAACCCCGATTACCAAAAAAAAAAAAAAATGCAGTTAACTCACTGATAGAATAGCATTATCTTTCTACATAGGAAGATTTTAATAATCATGAAGAGTGAATAGCTATTCAACTTCTAGCTCCCCTTTAAAAATAAGAGGAAACTAATGGAAACTACTTCAAAATAGATTGAATTAGACATAAGGAAAGACTGTAACACTCTAGAAATTTCAAAGTTCAACACAGAATTCTTCATAAAGAAAAGCATGAAACTATAATAAAACTTATCCTTTGACATCAAATAGATGGAAAAGATGATGTCCAGAAGTCATTAAAACCCTTTTACTGATAGGATGTGTGATTAGATTATATTCCTTTATCAAATAAAATGCTACTATTAACTACTTTGCCGATGCCAGTCAATATAGTAGATCCACTGTAAGTGTAAAGAGGGTGCTAATGATATATATTCAGTAGGATTTTGTTTGTCAGTTAGGTAAAAGCCATGCTGAAGGCAAATGGAACTGAACATTCAAGAAGACATCCAGTGATTGAAAATAATCACAAACAGTATTAGAGCAGTTTTAGCTTGTCATTCACTGTGGCAATAGTCCTTATTTTGGGGAAAGATTTTGTAGGATGTTGCTACCTGATAGAAAGATTTAGAAAAAATAGAGTTGGTAAGGGTCCAAGCCCAAAACAATGAACAAAACTAACAAGAGATTAAAAAAAAAAAAAAAAGAATAGTAAAAACCTTTGAAATAAGACTGAAAATTCAAAACTAAAGTAGAAAAGGAAATCAGTAATGGGATATAAGAAGTGGTATAATATAGGTTTTGTTAGAGGAGAATAGTTTGTGTAGTGAATTTGTTGAAATTATTGAAAAGAGAAAATTAATCTCTTCAATCTGTCTCTAGTTTTGCCTGTTCTCACAGTACTATTATTTTTTAAATAGGAAAACTTGTTCAAAGGATGCCTTATCAATTAGGATTGCATTCGGCTGCAAGTAGCCAAGTTTTATTCCAGTGACTTGATCAAATAGCCCCACTCTGTATCCTCCTGCTTGCATTCCATTGCCTACAAATGTCATGCCATCGATTCTAGCTTCACAGGACCTGTAGGAACCTGCAGATTTGAATTTTATTTTGAGTTTGACGCAGTGCTTTCCTGAGCAGTGTTGTGGTTCTGTTAGTAAGAAAAAAGCAGGGTTAGTGGAGACAAGCAGTTGGGTTAACAAGTGGCAGCATCTGCAATAAATAGTATAAACTTTTCAAGTCAATCCTAATTTTGTGCTGTTGACCAGAGACCTCCTAACATCCCTATTCTGCCTTTTAAAAAAGATTACATTTTCTATCTGTCTGGACTGTCATTGGTTCTAGTCTTGATGTTATAATGGATTGATAGTTAAAAAGTTGAGGCCACTTCTCAAATACTCTTGTGTTAAGGATGAAAATTTATTGCTGAGAGGAAGTACCCCTAATAAAAATTTTATTATGCTGCCAGTCATCTTCAAGTTAAGAGCAGTACTGGCTGCAGTGGTAAACGATTGGCTTTAATGTATAAATACTGAAAAATTATTGTCAGTGTCCATTTTGTAGTCTTGATATGAAATAAAGCAATAGGCGTCAAAATATACACCAGGCAATGTGCATAATTTCATTATCAGCTTAAACTTTTGCTTCGTATCTGTTAATCTTTGTTTCCTATATGGTGTATCATATAGAATCAAAGTGTTTTTCATCCTTGTAATTTTTTTCATCTTTTCTTCCCACATATTTAGAGCAAAGAAATGGGAGAAGTGTCAAATTATAAAGATGTAACAAGATCCTAGAAGAAAAGAAAGTCTAGTGATTTCTGCAGTGACAGAAGTGTGTTATATTATTACATTAAATAGCTAGTCTGATGTAACATGTCTCAGTATATTAACGATTCATATTAATTGCAAAATCTCAATAATTAATATTTGACCCCCAAGAATATCTCATACCTAAAAAGAAATATTTCAGTTATGGGGATATTATTATTGTTCCACCTAAGGGGAAAATAATTTGTTGCTAAATTTGAAATTATAAATCATATTTTAAAATCCATTCATTCTTCCTTGTTATTTTTTAAACAATAGCTACAGTAGAATGTTACAATCCAAGAACAAACGAATGGACCTACGTTGCCAAAATGAGTGAGCCCCACTATGGCCATGCTGGAACTGTGTATGGAGGTGTAATGTATATATCAGGTAAATAATTGCAAATGCAATTCATATAATACATAGATTTTAGCTATGTTGCCATCTTTCCATATAGTGTTAATAATCCAGGAAATGGATAATCGAAATATAATTTGTAGGTTTTAGAATGTATTTTTATGTACATTTGTATGTAAATGCCTTTGGTATTTTATAAGACTAGCAGCCAACCCATTCTACTGTAATACTTAGAAGAAATTGGAAAGCTTTCAGCTTCTCCAACTTGCCTTTCAGCCCCCTTAGTCCATAGTCTAATACTCTAATAACCACCATTCATAGTCTCTATATAACAACCATTAATTCATTTCTATTTAGAATTCAGCTAAACTCCATGAGGAAATATATCATTATATAACATATAAGCTCTACTGTGTATAATACTTGCTTCTAGTATACATATAATGTATAATAATGTTCATTCTCTCATTTGTGTTAGTCACTCAGTTGTGTCTGACTCTTTGTGACCCTATGGACTGTAGCCCACTAGGCTCCTCTGTCCATGGAATTGTCCAGGCAAGAATACTGGAATGGGTTGCCATTTCCTTCTCCAGGGGATCTTCCCAACCCAGGGACTGAACCCAGGTCTCCCGCATTGCAGGCACACTCTTTACTGACGGAGCCATGAGGGAAGACCTAATTTAGTGCAACCCATAACATGTTTCTCTTGTCCTGAGTGTTATATTGGGTTCTACTCTGGTGTCATCGCATAAATAATTCTGTGCTGATTACCTGTATTTTGGCCACATTCACATATATTTTTCTAATAAAAAATTCTGAAAAGACTACAGTTGGCTCAGTGACACTGTGTTACTGTTACAGTGACACTGTGACTCAGTTACTGTGACACAGTAACACAAACTGTTAGTGTTCAAATCATCCTTATGTAGAATGTAGAAACGAGTCCTATTTTAATGTAATGTTCACTTCCGGTATTTAAATTTGGCTCTGTTAGGTTCTTACCATTTGGCCCTGACAGAGTTTACCTCTGACAATTTTCCCACTTTTGAAGGACGGCCAGTGCCAAGCCAGCGGCTACATTATTAGAGAACAAAGGCATTAAGGTGATGTTTGTGGTCTGAGTCTCTGAACGCTGCCTTAATGAAATCTGTAATCAAGAAGGATCAGTGAGAGGCCTTTAGTATGCGATTGGCAGGTTTCTGGTGTGAAATTTATGAGCAAACTATGGGACGTCTTATATTGAAAGGGCTTTCCAGGAAATCATATGTTCCGCTAATCAATGATTTACACCATCTACCTATTTTATGTGTGTGGCTGCTATGCTATTATAATGAGAGCTGCAAGTCCTCTGGTGGGAAAAAATGACATTCGAATTGTTCTAGTGGTGCTTTGGCATAACTAGTATATATTGCACAAATGACCTTCCGAGTCAAGAGTAGGCTGGAAACCACAGCTGATTTTCAAACCAAAGAGCACTATTTTGCTTGCTGCGAACTCAGTGAAGTACAGGAAAAAATACAGAAAAGCAGAAAAAAAAAACAAACAACCTAGTGATGGCCATCTGGCCCCCAGATAGTAGAGCTTTGAATGATGTGACTGTAGCTTAGTTTAGTTTTCTCCCTAATCTGCAGAACACATAGTTTGATATTTTCATTGTACAGACTGATTAAAATATATGATCTAAAAATGTTTTGTAGATGATATGGACTCAATAGATCAGCAACAAATCACTGTACATACAAAATTCCAGGTATATTCAGCATTCTAATTCTTTAACTTTTTAAGAGAGGACATTACCCATCCTCACCCTAAAGTCTACAAAAACAGTTCTGAATATTCGTATAAGCCTGTATAGTTGCATAACACTTTTGACTTTTCCAAAGCATTGTGATTTATTTCAATTCATAGTCAAAATCCTAATGCAAGAACTAGAGTGGCCATTCTTATTTGACAAATGAGGAAGGGAACACCTAGCATTTAAAGAGCAACAGGAGTGAATGATGCTTTGTAGTTGGGATTTACTGTAAACCCAACTCGATAAGTGGCCAAAATATATTTTCGTTCTGTAAAGCCTCTTAAATCCCTTGGGTCTCTGTTTGAGAAAGTCATTACAATAATATAAGCTACACTTTTGTTCTTTAAGGAGATGAAAATATTATTTTCTTTATTTTTAATCCAGAGAAAGTAGTTATAGCGGGCAGACATGTATAAGAACACACTTGATAAACTCTAAAATGTCATAATATGTGGCTAGAAGTTAATTATCTGTGACAGAGAGCCTTCTGTTAACTTTTGTATTTTTACATTAATCTGTTTTCCTCCTACCTGTAATTTTCATTCTTTAGGAGGAATTACTCATGACACTTTTCAAAAGGAGCTCATGTGCTTTGACCCTGATACTGACAAATGGATCCAGAAGGCGCCAATGACCACTGTCAGAGGTCTGCATTGCATGTGCACCGTGGGAGAAAGGCTCTACGTCATCGGCGGCAATCACTTCAGAGGAACCAGTGATTATGACGACGTCCTAAGCTGTGAATACTACTCACCGATCCTTGACCAGTGGACCCCAATTGCTGCTATGTTAAGAGGGCAGAGTGATGTTGGGGTTGCTGTCTTTGAAAATAAAATCTATGTGGTTGGTGGGTATTCATGGAATAATCGTTGTATGGTAGAGATCGTGCAGAAATATGATCCAGATAAAGATGAATGGCATAAGGTGTTTGATCTCCCAGAGTCCCTGGGTGGCATCCGAGCTTGCACACTCACGGTTTTTCCACCTGAAGAAACCACACCATCACCTTCTAGAGAGTCCCCTCTTTCTGCACCGTAAGGTCGTCCCTGCAACTAAGATGCTGTAGTCCAACCTTTGCAGTGTGTCATGAACTCTCTTCTTTTGCCCCCTCCCCTTAAGTAGTGTATGTTAGGATTATCCTCCAGTAATTGATACAAATATTGGAAAAAAGACATTGATGTTCTTCGTGCTGTTTGTTTGGCTTCGAGTGTTTATAAAGTGGTAATAAACCATTCTGGAAATGTATCCCATAGAAGCTGATATTTAACATACAAGAAAAAAAAAGTATTGTCTATAAGATGTTTCTTCAGTACTTTTTGATGCTGTGTACTGGGTGTAAGGTATTTGTCATCTTACATTAGAAAAGCCCAATAAACCAAGTTAAAAGGTGGATTATAGTAAATGTGCAACTGTGCTAACTAGGCTTCAAAGTAAAAAGTTTTCCTTTCATCTTTGACTGTGAGATGTTAAAGGGAGGCAGCCAGTTCCAACAGGAGACACCAGACAAAAGGTTGCCAACTCGCATGAGCTACCTGCCTCTTTCCATAAAGTATTTTTGACATATCTGTCAGCCCTCCTGTCTGTGGGGGTGCATTGAAAACACATCAAATTTCTTAGACGCACAGGAGAAATAATCATTGAAATTCACCAATCTTAATTTTAAAAAAAACAACATGACCCCTCAACTTGTAAACAAGGGTTTGGGGGTTTTTAAGTGTGTATAAATACATACACACATATATGTCAAAAAGGAAATTTTTAAAAATTGACTAGAATGTCAAATTAATGTGAAAAAAATAAATACTTTTAAATTTCTTCCAAAAAGCAGCTTCGGTTAAAATGGGAATTCAGTATACACATACTGAATGCACATATGTAGAATCATACTGAATTTAGGTGGACAAGGGCTAGAAATTTTGAGCAACTAAATTTGTCATTTGACCAGATTTTTCCCTCCAAAACTGTAATCTACACCTTCTCCTTTGCTGTTGAGATAACTTACATATTATATGTATTCTGTATACTCAGTTCATAAGATTATTTAGCACACAATACAGCAGCTTCACCTGATGAGCTGCTTTTGCTCAGTGAATTCAACTTCCATGTTCTTTTTTGTTCAATAAAAAACATTTGATGTCGTTTTGGTGTGAGATATTCTATTATTGTCTGATTTGACTTCCTTTTATTAAATATCTTTTTTTTTTTTAGTGTGCCAAGATCTAAATGATCAGAACTTAAGAGTACTGAACAGCTTGGATTACTGAATACTAATATCTTTCATTCAAGAAAGAAAGAATTTGACCAGGTCCAGCTTCATTGGTGAAAACTCCTTGTTGGTTGTTTTTGAGGAGTTACTGGGTTAGCCAAAAAGTTCATTCAATTTTTTCATACCATCTTACAGAAAAGCCCAAATGAAATTTTTGGCCAACCCAAAATAGTCTGCAATGCAGGAGACCTGGGTTCAATTCTTGGGTTGAGAAGATCCCCTGGAGAAGGGAAAAGCTACCCACTCCAGTATTCTGGCCTGGAGAATTCCATGGACTGTGTAGTCCATGGGGTTACAAAGAGTCAGACATGACTGAGCAACTTTCACTTAAAATAGTTTGTAGAAGATGCTCATTGGCCTCTCTCGATCCCCACAGGGTAATATGTCTAAATCACAAAAGCAATGGAATTTCTGAGGTCAATTTCCCTGCTCTTTGAGAAGATCCATCTTGTTTAACAAGAAGAGATCATGTAAAATAACCTAAGAGATTTGTTCTCAACCAAGGAGTATAAAGAAAAAGTTTTTGTAGGTTATTGTTTGATCATTATGTTAGGGCCATGTGTATGATCTTTCCTACTTCATCTTCAAATGACCAGGTTAAATCTGAGCCAAAAATTTCAAGCTATTTCAGACCAATGAGTATCACCAAAGTTCTTAACCAGGGGGTAATTGGCAGTACCCTGTCACTACCTTTGTCTTGAGTTAATCATAACAAAGAAAACCGTTTTCCCATCAGTGGTACTTTTGAATGTTAGGAGAGGCCTGGTTTGAATGTGAAGACCCTCTTTGACAGGATTATTCTTTTTTCTAATTAGTTTTCATTAGGGTATAGTTGCTTCATAATGTGTTAGTTTCTACTGTATAGCAAAGTGAATCAGCTATATGTATACATATATCTCCTGTTTTTTGGACTGCCTTTACATTCAGGTCACCACAGTGCATTAAGTAGAGTTCCCTGTGCTATACAATAGGTTCTCATAAGTTATCTATTTTATACATAGTATCAATAGTGTATGTGTTAATCTCAATCTCCCAATTCCTCCAACCCTACCCCTAACCCCCTTCGTATTCATACATTTGTTCTCTACATCTATGTCTCTATTAAGTCGCAGTAACTGGTCACATATTTTCAGTTCTCTGTTTATAGGCAGAATGGATTCAACCATTTGCACAGAGTTAACAACTGCCCAAATGTGGGAGCATTTACAAGACAGACTGAGGTCCCACCAGAGTCCAGTGTGAGTTTTCCTGGTCAGGCAGCTCTCCTCTAAGGGTCCTCAGAATCCTCTCCATCCAGTCAGCAGAAGAAGAATGGAGCATTGAAGGCATGAGGGGTGTTGGGTTGAAAGAGGCTTACATCAAGTCTACCCACATTCTGCTGGTCAGAAATTAGTCCTGTGTCCACACAGAAGCCCAAAGGGGACTGGAAAATATCAGACAGCCACATGCCCAGAAAGAAGAGGAAATAGGGTCGGTGATTTGTTCTCAGTTTGCCACAGGGAATAACAAAGCACACAGATTCTGTTTGACAGCTTACCTTTTCTGCATCCATGCCGTATGTTTTTTAGAACAGCAATGCATGTCACACAAGTGCTGTTATTAAACAATTCCAACAGCTGGTAAATTACTACACATTTTCCGTCATAGCAAATTAACTATTTTTCTTTATAAAAAATATCTTCCAGTCTTGTTTGACTTTACAAACATTTCTCACATTTGCCTTTCTTAGGTTCTTGTTTTACTTGAAAAAGGAGTTATTGAGTTATAATGTATTAAATGTTTAATGTTATGTTAATATAATGTATTAAATGTTTAATGTGTTAAATCTCAAAAGGGTCGTCATTTCCCTTCCTGGTCGAGGCTGGTAAAGTGTGGAAGATGAAAGAAAAAAGCTACTTTGCCTATTTCAAGAATTTAAAAAAATTCATCTCATAATCAAGTTTTGTCCTGAAAAGAAAGATGATGACCCTAACCTGTTTCCTCTCTCATGTTACTTTAGGGACTTAACAATATATAAGTATGTATTGTCTCTTCGGAAGTTGCTAAAATAACTCCCTTTCATGAGCCCCTGAGCTGAGTGCCCCACAAGGCAATTAAGTGGTGTTTTATTTAATTAGCCTGTGACCTTTTTTTCCATTTCAAGCGCCTTTGTGTATCCCCTGCCCAAGAATGGTAAGCAGACTTCCTTTACCTTACTATGGAAAAGTTGGCTCTGCCTCTAATTTTATTGTTGGCTATTGTGTGTTTTATTTTCAAGGCACCAGACCTCAGGTTTAGTCCTTTCCATATCAGAGAGCTCTTGGAATATGTGGGCAGCAAAGTAAATGTGAAATAAGTTCACAAGGATTCCAGGAATTTTATTTTAAATGGGTCAAATCATGCAGTATTTAAAAACTCTTGGTAATTATAAACAGGCAAAATAGAGAAAAACTGGTAAATACAAGGAAGAAAAAAGTCATTCATCTCCCCCCATATCAGTAACTACAGCTAAATATATTTTGCTTTTACACTATTATTATTTCAAATCAGTATAAATAATTTTGTATAACACAATATATTTTTGATATATTAATATATCATTTCCTGATATGAAATACATTCTAGAAAATCTGTGTATTTTAATTACTGATACAAAATATGTCAATACAGTATTTAGAGTAAGACTTCTAACCCCTGTATTAAGTGAGCCTTAACTACTCAGCAATATATTGGGCTTATATCAGTGTAAAAATATTAAAATATTAATGTGGTCAAATCAGATATCCATTGAATGAAGTAATAGTGTTGCAGGAAGGGGGACCCCTTCCAGGGCCCGAAACTGGGCTCTTGTCTAACACTCAGAAATGAATTGTCCAAGGAGACACATGTGCTGACAAAGCAAGAAATTTTATTGGGAAGGGGCACCTGGGCGGAGAGCAGGAGGGTAAGGGAACCCAGGAGGACTGCTCTGCCATGGCTTGGGTTTTACAGTGATCAGATTAGTTTCCAGGTTGTCTTTAGCCAAACATTCTGACTCAGAGTCCTTCCTGGTGGTGCACGCCTTGTTCAGCCAAGATGGATGCCAGTGAGAAGGATTCTGGGAGGTGGTCGGACATGTGGTGTCTCCTTTTGACCTTTCCTGAACTCTTCAGGTTGGTGGTGGCTTATTAGTTCCGTTTTCCTTACCAGGACCTCCTGTCATAAAACAACTCATGCAAATAGTTACTGTGGTGCTGGGTCAGGGTGGGCAGTTTCAGTCAGTGTGCTTCCCCTAACAACGGTGATACTAGATAATTAAAATATTTATTTCATCAGTGAATCTAAGTAATTTGTATAATTCAAATCTCAGAGTAGATATTTCATTCTCTATTTTTTATTAGTATTTTTAAAGTGATTACAGGTTTTTCTATTAAATGGTAGTTTTAGGGATGTATTCATTCTCTATTTAAATTTAGTATTCCTTGCTGTCTTTACTAATCAGCCCAATGCTTCTTCACCTTGCATGTTATTTGGCAATGGGACTATGATAAATGAAGATTGAACTTTAAGAAATGAGAATAGAGGCCACAGCTCTGTCAAAAAAAAAGAAAGCAGGAAACATTACAATATTACAGGTTGGCAAACTTTTTCTATAAAAATCAGTAATATTTTAATCTCTGTTGGACCATTGGTCTTTGTCATGACGACTCATCTCTGCTGTTGTAGTTGGAAAATGTAAAGAATGTGTCAATGAATGACCGTCAATGTGTTCCAATAAAACTTTAGGACACTGAAATTTGAATATCATGTAATAATTACAAAATATTGCTCTCCTTTTGAATTTTTAGCCATTTAAAAAAATAAAGAATATCCTTAACTATTGGACCATAGAATAATAGGCCACATTCCAGACTTGGTCCATGGTCAGGAGTTTGCTGACCTCTGTTTTAGAAGAGCACGTTTCATTATCATTCATTTATTCTTTCAACAGACATTCATTGTGAACTTATTTCATATCAGTCAGTGAAGAGTCCTAGGGTCTATAAAGATGAGTAACACTGAACCCCTGCCCTCAAGGAGCTCAGTCTAGTTGGGTAGATCATGCTTACAATGTGGTGTACCCGAGGCTAGGATGAGTGTGTGGCTGAACAAATCACATAAATAGATGTTTATAAAATGAATGCCTGGAAATCAACAAAGAAAAGAGTGTCTGCATTAATAAAATGCAACTTTTATTGCTACAAAGCTATAAATAAAAGAATATGCATAAGGAAGGGGCAGTCAGTCCTTGAAACCCTAGCTTCTGTCCCCTGGTCAACTGGATCTAATTATCCAAACTACCAATTTGCTGGTTCTGTGCTAGGTAGAGTCACACACAACATGCCCTTTAAAATACTCTGTAACCAGCAAAGTGCAGGACAGGATATTTAACAAGATGTCCGGAAAATCACTGTGTCAATATCTTTTCTGCTGCAAGTAACTGAAATCCTCAACTCTAACAATAAGGAAATGTGTTTTCTCAGAGCTGCAAAGCCCACTGGAGGTAAAGGAGGCCCCAGGCACAATGTAATTAGCTCAGTGTTGTCAAACTCCCAGGTTGGTTTTTTTTTTTTCTCTCTCATATCCCCACTCTATTTGCAATAACATTTGTAAGCACTGTATTTTGCCAGTAGCATTCCTTGTTCACATCCAGAGAGAGAGAAAACCTCTCTCAATCATGGAATTTAAATTCTCTTTAGTCTTTTGGAGCTAACTTAGGACATACGATTGCCCATGGACCTGTTGCTAGGAGAGTGCTGTGTGCATGGATCAGCTTAGATTAATTATCTGATGCAAAATCATTGTTGAGGAATTAACCATAAATAATACTTTCCACACTTGAGAAGAACAAGAGGGAAACATGGAGAAGGAAATGG